GGGTGATAGCCATGCCATAATCCCTTCTCCTCCATTCTCCTCTAGAGATTTTGGCCATGCATGCACACCATTTGGCATGTTTCCCAAGCCACTCAGTCTGGGACTCAAACATGTGGGATATAGCACCTCAACCATAATGCCACCTGCTGGCCCTTGGCTGTGTTTATGGTCAGACTCTCACAAGATGCCAGCCAAGTAGGATCTTCATCTGGAGGTTCTAAGCAATAATGCACTTCCTAGCTTAGATGACTGACAGAATTCAGTCCCTCAAGGTTGCAAGACTGAGCCCCGTTACCTGTTATCACTCAAGGGCCTCTGTCAGCTTTTGAAGCTACTACATTCCTTGTCTCAGGCACTCTTCATCTTCATAAAAAACAGAGCAGCAGATCCTTCATGTTCTTTGAATTTTTTTGAGTTTCCCTTCTTCGACCAGCCTGAGAATACTCTACCTTTAATGGCACTATGGTTAGATTAGGCCACCTGGATTCTCTTTCCATGTAAATCACATAATCATAGGAGTGATATCTCATCATTTTCACAGATCTTTCCCACACTTAAAGGACAAGAAATTATACAAGGACAAAGGTCACTAGAGGTCATCCTTAGAACTCCCCATACCTCAGTGGCATGAAATGACATCATTCATTTAATTTTTCACATTGGCAGTAAAATCATAACAACAGCCAAACTGAAGGCATCATCAGTCATCCCAAGGTGATTATTAATCTTGTGATATTAAAAGGATTGATCTTTGAAGTACCTGGTTGATTTTTCATTTCTTCAGCTGTTGCCAACTTTTCTTTTCTAGGCCTTCTTTTGTTAGTGGTTTTGTCAGCTATTCTTATATTTCTATATTATTTTTGACCTCCTAAAACCATACATCTTTTGCATGACTTGTAATTTAATTTCACAGTCAATTTACATTTGCTGGGACCAACAGTTACTGTAATGGCTATGTCGCTGGACTCCCATGTAATCGACCGCAGTTCGTGTCCTGGACCTGGTGGCTTAAAACTCACGCCAGGTGCATGTGCATGCATGCCCAAGATCCCAAGAGGAGAATGGAGGAGAAGGGATTGCGGCGTGACCATCCCCCCAGGGGGTGATTTCTCGCTTTCTGTCTCTGTCTCTCTCTGTCTGGCGAGTACACGTGCCCTATAGCAAAAACCTCTCAAAAAATTTTATATTTGCTTTGTTGGATTGTTTAATATCCTGTGATCAGTGAATGCAGATGTTTGGGCCGTAGTGCAATGCACGGAGAGATAGAACACTTGGTTAAGGTCATGTGCCCACGCAATGAAGCAGCTGGGGCTGGAACTCAGTCTGATTCTTATAAAAATTACTCAAGGTTATTTTTAGCAAGTGTCCATTAATATCCATCCGTGCTCTCCACTCTTTGTAGAATGATAATCCTTACATTTCCTTCCTGATAAATTCTATCCGTCTTCCTAGGACACTTTCAAAGATCTTTTTCTCTGAGAAACCTCCTCTGCCACTCTTTTTCCACCACACCTTGGCAAAACTAATTTCTTTAGGCTGCTCCCTATACCATTGCCTAAACATCCTTTTTTTTTTTTTTTAAGAGGTTTTTGCTATAGGGCGTGTGCACTCACTGGAAAGAGAGAGAGAGAGAGAAAATGAGAAATCACCCCCCGGGGGGATGGCTATGCTGCAATCCCTTCTCCTCCATTCTCCTCTTGGGATCTTGGGCACACACGCACACGTGTCCAGCGTGAGTTTAAGCCACCGGGTCTGGGACTCGAACTGTAGTGGGCTACATGGAGTCCAGTGACATAGCCATTACACTAATTACTGGTCCCACCTAAACATCTTCTATTGGTCTTAGCACGTGTATTTTTCTATACTTTTCTATGTAAAAACATGTCATGACTTTTCCAACAACCCAATAATTTATCTTTTCATCCCTCCAGTGCCTTGCTCACAATATAAACATCACGAAAGAGAAGAGCATGTCTTAATTGTTTTGTACTATAGGTAGGCATTCTGCTTAATTCCTGACACGTATAAATTCCAGGGAACAGCATAGATTTAAGATAGACTAGCAGTTCTCAGATGGAGATGATGTTATTATCTCTCTGCCAACAATGGGACTTTGAGAATGTCTGGAGACATTTCTGTTTATCACTACTGGTGGAGTGGTGGATGCCACTGACCGGGAATGCTATTAAACCCCCCTCACCCATAACCAAAAACATTATCTAGCCACAAATGTTAGTAGTGTTAAGGCAGAGAAAGCCTGAACTGTATACAGAAAAAGTAAGACCTTGGATAGAGAGTCTAAACACGAAAAGTCATAATTGTAGAATTTCTTGCGTTTGTTTAATCATGGAATTTAGGGAAGCCAAGAAAATATTGGAAAATTGAGAAGAGTTATGGTCTGGGTCAAAATTGTATGGTTTATACACTCATCAATCATGGTTGTCCTGGCAAAAGAACTCCATGTTTTTGCCATGGCATAATGACAAGGAAAACATGCAGACATTATGGAGTATACTTGCTCTAGGGAGTGTTATGGGAGACAAGGAGAAGTGGGAGGAAATTTGTGCCTCAGACAAAAGCAAAATTACAGAATTGAAGAAAAGAACCTGTCTTACAAAGGACAACTTGAATGTATGTGCTGGAGAGAGCAGCGAGGCTGCTGATCTATTGCTCCTCCTGACGACTCTATTCAAGTTGTGTATGGCAGGGGTTCTCCAAGTGTGGTCCTACAATGTAACACCTGCATCACTTGGAACTTGTGAGAAACACAAGTTCGAATGTCTCATTCTAGATCTAGAAACTCTAGATCCTTCTAGATCCCTCTAGAAACTGAGAATGAAGTCCAGAAACATCTTAACAAGCTCTCGAGGTGATTCTGATGCATGTCTGCAGGTAACAAGGACAGTAGTTGTCAGATTTTCTCACTTTTTCCACTAATTGACATCATAGCCTGGGAAGGGGACCTGGGCTAGGGAAAGGCTCCTTTTATTGTTTATCTGTGTAGGTTTGGGTTTGTAGCAATCTAATCTGCCTTGGGTTTGTAGCAATCTAATCTGTTACTTGGACTATTTCCCTACTCATTACTTTGCAGTGCAATAACACTCTACCGAGAACTCTGCTGTCCTTTCACACATTAATCCATTTCATCCAGCAATGACAGTACGGTGGACATCAATCCATTTTAAAAATGCTACATGAGGAGCCAGCAGATGCCTTAATGGTTACATTGCTGGACTCCCATGTAGTTGACTGCAGTTCGAGTTGTGGTCCTGGAGGTTTAAACACACTGGGTGCTTGTGCACCCAAAATCCTGAGAAAAGAATGGAGGAGAAAGGACTGAACCATATCCATCCCCCCTGGGGAGTGATTTCTCGCTTTCTGTGTCTCTCTCTCTCTCAGTCTTTCCAGCAAGTGCATGTGCCCTATGGCAAAAATCTCTCTCTAAAAAAATAAAAACAAAAAAGTGCTCCACGATGCCAAGGCTGCTGGGGTTGGTCCTGGGTTTGCATCCCGAGTGTTCCCTATATATGCTCAGTGTGCGGTCAAGATCCTAGGTGACTGAGGCTGCGATGGGTGGTTCTGTAAAGACCTTGTTGGGGGTGAGTCTCTCTTTCCTATCTCAGAAGAAATAAATAAACATAACATTTTTATTATTTATTTATTTATTTATTTTTATGAGGAATCAGCCAAGAGAGACTAATTTGCCCAAAATTATGTAGCTAGTAATTGTTCAAGTAGGAACAAAAACTAGATCTACAAAGACCATATTCTCCATATTCTAAAACGGTGAATTCTGATAACCAAAGCACTTTGTCAGGCAATAATCAATTTCCTTTAATTATTAGATATCCTAGTGGTCTTTATTTTAGTAAGGAAACAAGGGGCACCATTGTATTAGAGTATGCTGTAACATTAGGGTATAATATTTATGGTTCATTTTTGGGGGAATATATATTATATAAAACTTTGTGTTAGGGTTGAATCTACTCCCAAGCCTGAGAACATGATTTCTTTCTCATTTTAAGTACTGAAAATACTGTATGAGAGAATAACATTGCTATTGGTTTTCAGAATAGTACAGAAAAGTACTGGAATAGGCTTAATGAGTGTATGATCGTTTATGTTTTCTAGTTGTTACAGAAGCTCAGTAAGTGAATTGCGAATATGTCCTGAAATTTTTTTCCAGTCCTGACAATGAGTCCTATGAGAACTCCTTATTTTAACAGCAGAAAACTTTTCTTTTTGGAAATATAGAACACAAGTACCTTGTACAATGGAAATAAAAAAAAAAAACATGCAAAGCAGATACTTGAATTGTACAGATGACAGAGGACTATATAAAGGGTTTTTGACAAGTTCCTGGAAAATGAGTATTATGAAAAAAACAGCTGTGGATGATTTCAAAAGTTTTTTTGCATCAATAAAGTCATATTTTAATTACATTTTCCCACAAAGTTCTTGAAGTCTCTAATGATAAGCTTTTGGGTTACGCCAGTTAGAAAGAGATAAAGAGTACCATTGTGAGACCGTCCCAGGGCGTAGTGGTTAAGGTGGCTGGATTCCACACAGCCGACTGCACAGTTTGAATCCCATACCTGGTGACTTGAAAAGCATGCTAAACAAAATCCTGAAAGGGGAGAGAGATGAGAGAGAAGAAACTGTAGCATGACCATGCTCCATGGACGGTGCTTTTTCACTTTCCTTCTTTCTCTCTCTCTTTCTCCAACAAGTACACATGCCCTCCTAAAAAAAAAAAAAAAAAAAAAAAAAAGAATATAACAATGTGGTGGAAGAAAGAGAAGAGTGGGCAAAGATCACGAGGAGGATTTTATTCTTCAGGGAGAGTATCAAAGAAGTTTAAACAAAACACCGGGTCAATAAATCAAAACTGCCTCTTCTGGACTACCTGTAAGATCCTAGCGTAAACTTGCCAAAAATACAAATTTGCTTTTGCAGAAGTGCATCCCTTGGGATATTGTTTTTCTCAAGAGACTACATACCAGTCACTCGAAGTTTATCTGTACCAACCATGACTTCCTTTTCATCAACAGTAAACAGTGGCTTGCCATCTTTGGAGTTTATCTGAAACTGTTGACTCTGGACTTCTACCATTTTGGGACCTGAAACGTCAAAACATTTGATTAGAAAGCATTTATTATCAGCAGTGTCTAAACTTCGACTTTTTATGTATGTCCTGCTACTCAGCAATATCAGGTGATTACACATTTAGGATATGTTACCAATAGTTTTTTTTTTTTAATTGTATGATTAAACTTAGCAAGTTTTAGGCCTAAATAAATTACAGTGGTAAAATTGATTTATGTCAAATGCAGAAGAGGATTTCAAAAATTTACAGAAAAATGGAATTAAAGTATGAGTTTATTTTGGTGCAATAAACTTTGAACTCATTCTATAGTTTTTTCATAATATACATTTCGTATGAACTTCTTGGAGAGCTTTTGAGATGTTAACCAATATTTAGTATATGTATGAAGAAACCATTTAAAACAATATTTTTTTGGATTTTGAAAACTTGACCAAAATAGTTCTTCTCATAATTAAATTGATATTCTTTTATTAACCAACTAGAAATTTTACATTCCAAAATGTAGGATTTGTGAAAGGCAACCTTATATATTGCTCACTTAAATGGTCAAGCTTAACAGAGAAGGTGAATCTACACCGAATGTCTTACAAGCTCCTCACTGCTTACTCCATGGGAAAACCAACAGCACTGTAGAAGAACACTCCTCTCCCAAGTTCTTGCACTTTCCCTTCACCTAAGGCATTTCTGTCTTCTTCATACCTTCTTTCTCTCTATTAGCTTTTGCTTCCAAGCTCACTAAGCTCTAGACCCATTTCCTTCCAATGCACTGATTTATTCAGCAACATAAAGTGCCCACTACGTGCCAGGCTCCAGGGTTGCTGTGGCCCTGGGCTGCTGGAGATCTGTGCACTGTCTTACCCCTCTCACTCATGCACTCGGCTATGCCTGGACTCCAGGTGCTCACTATTGGGAGTTTCCTAACTTCAATCTATTTTCTGTCTTTCTAACCTAGACAGCTAGGATTAATTTCTAGAACCAGCCTTCATAATCTGCTAAGAAAGTATGAGTTAGGGCCAGCATGTGGTGTGGTGGTTAAAGCACTGGATTTATACACGGCTGACTGCGGTTTGGGTTCTGGACCTGGTGGCTTGAAAATAAAGCTGAGTACAAGTGTGTGCATGCCCCAAATCCCAGGAGGAGAATGGAGAATTCTGGGATTGTAGTGTGGCCATCTCCCTAGGGGGTGGATTTCTCACTTTCTCTCTCACTGACTCTGTGTCTCTGGCAAGCATAGTGCCTATGGCAAAAGCCTTAAAACAAACAAAAAAAGCAGGTATGCGTTCCCCGATTTTTTTTTTCCCTGTTAGTCTTATATTCTCATCTATAAAAGTAAGTTTGTTGAGAAAATTGGTCAACTCATTTAATTTTGTGTATGTCTGTGTCCCATTGAAGCATTTATCACAATTGTCGGGTACAAAGTAAGCTTTTCAGTTAATATATTGATCAGTTTTGGACATGGTCACCATGTGGAAAGGTCCTGGATTCATGTCCGGGGGTCTCCCTGACACACCAGGTATGTGAAGCTGTGATCCTGGCTGGCTGCAGGGCAGGAGGCAGGATCCTAGCATGAAGACCCTGTGGAGGGTGCTGTTTTCCCTTTATCTTTCAAAGGAAATAAATGCATAAAAACTTATACCAAAAAAAAGTATTAATAAAAAATATGAGGGAACCAGCAGTTAGTGTAATGGCTATGTCGCTGGACTCCCACGTAGTCGACCGCGGTTCGTGTCCCGGACCCGGTGGCTTAAAACTCACGCTGGGCGCGTGTGCGTGCGTGCCCAAGATCCCGAGAGGAGAATGGAGGAGAAGGGATTGCGGCGTGACCATCCCCCCTGGGGGGTGATTTCTCGCTTTCTGTCTCTATGTCTCTCTCTGTCTGTCTGGCGAGCGCACGCGCCCTACAGTGAAAATCTCTCCAAAAAAAAAAAATATATATATATATGAAAGAATCCTGATAAGAAATTCTTGGTCCATCTTCTGGGGTCAGGAATAGCATTCAGGGGAAGTTGATATTGAGCTGACCATGAAGAAAGAGTTCATGTTTTTCTTCTTTTCTTTTCAGAATTACTTATTTAACTTTATTTGTTATTATTATTATTACTATTTTTTAATTTGACCAGAAAGGGACAGAGAGAAAGAGAAGGGGAAAGTGAGAAAGCAAGTCGCCAGGTTCAGGACTCGAACCGTGGTCTGCTATGTGGGAGTTAATGCCTTATCTGCTATGCTACTGCCAGCCCCCAGAGTTCGTGTTTCCATGTTAAGGGAGGAGGTACTCCAGTTCAAAACATGAACTCCCAGAACAAAGGTATGGAAGTGAATAGAATTCCACCTCCATTTTACTAAAAAAAATACAGACACTGAATGCTTAAAGTTAAATACGCTTCCTACTTCAGAGGAAAGTATGCTGCTCTGTAAGTGATAACAAGACCATAGTTACTCAGTTTGTATTTAATCTTTAAGTTTTTATTAACATTCTACCAGTTTTTATAACCTAATTAGTCACCGATTAGAGCCAAAGTGCTAATTCGCTTTTGCAGCAGAGATCTTTAAGAAGTGAACTTCAAATTCTAACTTGTTGATAAGCAAAGAACTATCTGCACAATATGATTTTTGATGAATGTCTTTGGTACAAAGAAAAAAGTTAATGGTTTCATAATCTGATTAAGTTTGTGAGATTGGTGTATGGATTTTCTATTAAAAATGTCATTGGATTTTTCCTTACATACAATATGTCTTATTAGCAAATCTTTTTTCTTATGGTATCTTTAATTTAAAATAACACCATTTAAAAACAAATATCAAAAAGTCCTTTAGAAAAAGGAAACATCTATTGCTACAAATGCAATATATAGAGAAAGTATTGGATTGGAAGCACAAAACTGTGGTTACATTTGTTCTACGACTTTCTTGATGCAGTCTTGTTTTACGCAGCTTCCCTTGATGAGCCTGGTCTTAGTGACTCTCACCTGGACTGAAATAAAGTAAAAACCAGGCTTAAGAATACCTAAGTGGCAGAAAAAGCCACTTAGGTCATACAAGTGGAACTTAGATTACTTCTAATATGACAGTCTTCAAAAAGTTCAGGAAAATATTTATTACACAAAAACAATGCGTGTATTTAAAAATATTTTGCACCAAAAAACCTCATACTTCATTTTTCATGAGCTTTTGAGTTCCTCTCATAAATGCCTGATAATCTGGGTCTAACAGATGCCATAATGGTTATGTCACTGGACTCCCAAATAGTCTAACACAGTTCGGCGGCTTATACTCACGCTAGGCATGTGTGCATACATGCCCAAAATCCTGAGAGGAGGTTGGAGGAGAAAGGATTGCAGCATGACAATTCCCCTGAGGGGTGATTTCTCACTTTTTGTCTCTCTGTCTCTCAGGCAAGTGCATGTGCCCTATAGCTAAAATCTCTCAAAAAAATAAAAAGCCTCTGATAATCATAAATAAAACAAGTTGTCTTCCAAAAATGGTATATGCTGATGACTTCTGGTCCAGCTGTAGTGGTGCAATGTCCTGCAATGCTGGAAGCCGTACAGACCAGAGCTCAGTTCCTACAGCCCCATGCTCCTGGTTGGCTGCGTGGCTGCGGGAAGGGAACATCATGACATGAGATCAAGAAAGTCATGTTGGTCTTTCTCTCTCGATAAATAAATAAATAAATAAATAAATAAATAAATAAATAAAAAGATGACCACTCTTAACCAATACTCAGCCATCTGAAAACCTCCACTGTATTAACTAATCATGATAACAACTTTCAAAATAACAGTCCTGATTAAACAACTGTCCTAGTTAAGTGCCTTCCTCATTTTCACTTATAATCTAAGCTATAAAACCATGACTCAGAATAGCTTCCTACCACTTCTGATTTAAAGACCCCAGTTCACAAACAGTTCTTTTGTATGTACAACAAAATTGAAATTTTTTTCCTTTTCTTTTTTGGCTATAGGGTGCATACGCTCACTGGAGAGACAGAGAGACAGTGAGAGGGAAAGTGAGAAATCACCCCTGGGGTGAGGGGATAGCTATGCAGCAATCCCTTCTTCTCCATTCTCTTCCTGGGATTTTAGGCATACATGCACACACATCTGGTGTGAGTTTTAAGCCGCTAGGTCTGTGACTCGAACTGCAGTTGGCCATGTGAGAGTCCAGTGCCTTAACTACCTGCTGGCCCCCAAATTTTTAAATTTTAAACCTGATTTCATTGATTTATTTTTAATTTTCTATAGTGCATGTGTGCTTGCTGGAGAGAGACAGAGAGGGAAAGTGAGAAAGCACCCTCCCCCAAGGAATTAGATTATGCTTCAATCCCTTCTCCTCCATCTCTCCCTCCTTTCAGGATTTGGGTTATGCATGCACATGCACCTGGTGTGTTTTTCAAGTTGCCAACTCCAAGACTTTAATCACATAATTGGCCACATGGGATCTAGCTGCCCCAGCCACCATGCCACCAGATGGCCCAGATTTGATTGTTTTTGACAACCATATAAACCAGCTCTGTTCTTTAGGCTAATCAGCCACACTGTGCATCATGAGTTCATGGACCTACAGGGACTGGCAATGGCCTTTTGCTGTTCCCAGCAGTCTCTGAGGATGACCCTCTTTGCTCATTCTGCTTTGGAGCAGTTTAACTTCTGTCTTGGCTGCTAACTATTGCCTTTGCCACCCATTCATGATCCTTTCCAAGATCAAACGTCATAAAGATCATGGCTGAAACTTGAGCTTATCCTTTTTTTACTTCTGACAATCCTGGATAGGCCATCTTGCCCCATCCCATCTCCTGGAATCTCATCTCCAGTTTAGACTGTTCCCTCAGCCTGTCCTATCTCATCTAATCTTTAATTTATTTCATTTATTCAACAAGCATTTATTAAATACCCACTACATATATAAAGGTAGCCTGAGTTAATAACTGCAGCATTAGCCGAATGAAAAAAATGTAAATCCAATATTTGAAAATTGTTTAATCAAATGATATATATGTATATGTGTGAGTGTATA